TTTTGTGTAGTGTTTTACGATACGTCAACACATGAAGTTTACTTCGTGCCATCCCCTGGAATACACCACGGTGGCAGCTGGGGCTTAATATTCCCACCATACAACTATTTTGTAACGATGGGAGACCCCATAATTAAATTTCTCGGGGTGGTGTGGTGGGCAGATTCTCTTGGTACGCCACCGGTGGGAATGCTAAAATGGTTTTAAATCGTAACTGTTCTCTAATTTGACTTACAAAGGTGTGCTCTTGAGACTGATTGTCGCTGCTAATATAGTATTGTTTGAGAATTTGACACGCAAAATAAGTGTTCTAACAGTATTGGAATTACATGGAAACTAAACGTAAAAAGAGAAATATAAAGATGGTATTTGATAGTAGAGAAAAGTCGTAATTGTAAACTAGAGAATGAACTTACAGAAATTGTAAATGAAAGATTATATTTGGAAGTAACGATAATCTCTTAAATTTAAAGTTTTCTGAACGTCATGAAACTTGTGTAACAGTTGAAAGAAGACTTTGCTCTTTCTTCGTTTTTGAACATTAGAATTAAAAATTATATATATATATATATATATATATATATATATATATATATATATATATATATATATATATATATATATATATATATATATATATATATAAATATAAATATATATATATATATATATATATATATATATATATATATATATATATATATATATATATATATATATATATTGCCAATATTTATTGCACAGTGTGAAGTAAGAAATTAAAAAATATTGACATATTACAAAAGTATATTTTTAAGAGTTTTATACAAAGTTAGGAACAACACTCGTAATTAGATAGATATCTATGGTGATGTTGGATAATTTTCTATTATCGTTTATTTAAAATCTAGAATTGTTCCCTAATGGAAACGCATCACAATAAGAAAGTAAAGTTTAACGTATCTTATACAGGTAATTACTTAATCGTGTTTACAAGGCTTCACATGAAAATACATTGCAATAAATTGTAAACGATATGCCTGATGAAGTCAACCAAATTCAGATTTGATAATTAATCATATTAACAAATATTTCATTTCAAAATCACTTTTTAAATTGATTTTTTAGATTTAGCATAATATTGACCAATGGTGAACTTCAAAATTATTGAACTAACGAAAATGAAAGACTAGAAAATATGTAAATGGTTGAATGATAAGGCATTTAGAGTTGAATTCCATAATTGTTTAAACTTTACTTTCTTCAGTGAAAACTCAATTAATATCTTCAAAACTCATTTGTTTTCAATCATTATACACTAAAACGTGACATTTGTTTTCAATCATTATACACTAAAACGTGACATTTGTTGAATTCTGCAAATATGTATGACCTGAGAAAATTGTGTATGTTTATTGACCACGTCACGAAAACATTTTTGGTTCATGTAACCATGTAACTGTCTCAAGTCCTCTGATGTTACTTTCGACCAGGATAGAAGTAAAGGTTGTTCTTTTCCTTTCCGCTCGTACCGGCTGGCTTACCCTGGTATTTAAACTATATTTATCGAACGCTTTGAAACACGATCGAGAAACAGACCCACACGATATTTGTAACTTACCGCGGAGATATAACTCTGTAAGAAGTTGTTTCGGAACGAAGCGTTTGCAGACGCCAACATCATAAATGTAATGCGCAATAGCAACTTTTCAAGCCGTATCGTTCACTGTTGGGCCAGGTACCAAACCCCAACTGTTTGGGCATTACGCAAGACCCCACGCAACTCGTGCGTCTGCGAATTAAATTGGTTTGAGAATTACCATCTTCCAGACTGATTTTCATCGACATCATCTCGTTTGTGACTTACACGTATACAGAGCACTGTCTCCCATCAGGCTTATGCTTTCTAATTGGGCAAATTAGGCAAAACTTAAAATAATTCAATACTCCGAAAACATGGCCCCTTCTAGACCTCCTATATAAAGAAGCAATTTGCCAAAGATGTGTATCGTCTATACATGCATTTCACATGGCTCCCTCGATATTTACAGTTCATACGACCAGTGCCGGATTTAGGACAAATGAGGTTCTGTGCTAGTTAATTCATGAGGCCTTTACTTGGGCCCTGAAGGAGGTAAGCCCGGTAGTCCTACCCAGGTAGTCAGACATATATACTCAGGAAATTTAGGTTAAAGTTAAAATAGCCACAGACGTTTGAAAAATTCATTGTATTATTTTGGGCCAAGAAGATGGGTGCCCTGGCCAACGGGCCCTGTGCTTAAGCACACCTAAGTACGATAGTAAATCCGGTCCTGCATATGACCTTGTGGTTAGTTACAATCTGACATGAAAAGTATGCAAATTCCAAACAGTTCACTAAACGGTGCTCTCGCTTCTCTCAGTTGTCCACAGAAACAACAAGTTATATAACCGGGAGTTATCTTCCGGACAAGTTCTTATTTGTTTGTACCTAATTTTCCACTTAGTTCGTCTAAACACTGCTCAAAAAGTAAAAATTGAATGCTGAAACCACAGGAGTTTGACATTTTATCAATAAGGTGAAATCTCTGACTGCATAAAATCCCGTTAGCGGTACTATAAATTAGCACAAGAAGAGCAATCGTGATATCAACTATCGGCTCGATTCAATTTTTTTTTTTCACGCGTCGTTTATCGTATCAGAATCGCACGAAGACCCAAAAAACTACACATATCCATTCAAAAGACAGTAACGTACCAACGCATAACTCTCGGACTACCATCGCATGATTCTAATCCGGCGAATTAACTTTAATTTTTCTATTACGGTTGCAAAGTTGTTTTTTTTTTTGTGTTATAGTGTTATAGTCTTCTTTAGTGTTATAGTGCATTCGATGCGTTGTTGACAGTGTGATAAAGTCTTGGATGTGTCAGCTCAAGAAACGATGCTTTTCAGGCCTCGTGCTTGTAGGACTTAAAATTTTACAGAACTCACAGTACTAATTCAGTTTCCATATTAAACCCATGCAAACACCATGATATTAAACATTCAATAGATTAAAATTTTGGAGTGCTCATGGCCAAACCTATATTTATCAGTATAGGTGAAACCTGGAAGTCAGCTTTTGTGCAGAGGAAAGGATATGAGCCGCGGCATTTTCTGGAGCTGCATATGTTTGAAAAATGTTTTTTTTTTTCAATTCTGCACCAAAGAGTCAGGTGCTAATTTTGGTAATGAGTGTTCCAAACTCAAAACTATTAAAGAACTGAGATTCCATTTAAAAAAAAAAAAAAAAAATAGCGGCTCAATTTTTATTTACTTTCAACTAACATAAGGTCTCAAAAGATTCCTTTTCCCAAAACATAACTTACATTATTAACCAATCCTTGTCACCCAAATCCGTTTATAATCTATTTAAAGTTCACCCATTCTAGGCTGGTTCCCATTTTTCAATAAAATTAGCACCGTGTGTCCGGTATGTCATCGTCCTTATTTATATGGAAACCGTTTGTATATTTTTGTGCGCCATTTACTGGTCGCATCATCCCATCCAAGAGCAACAAACGCGAATAGAATATTTAATGCTTCTCACTGCCTTGACTTGACTCCAGCTTGACGGGTAGTGCAAAAATCGTGTCGCCTCTAATTGAAGCAATATACCGTCCAATTGCTTATCAATGTCGACGTCGTCCCCGCTGAGAGCTCGCTAGTTATTTATTCCTTGCGGAGTGATTGGTCCTAGTCCATATATAAACTTAACATCTATATATTCCGTACATTAACATAAAATTGATAAGCTATAACTTATTAAGTACCATAGCATATAATGTATAAGCTATAGCTTATTACGTAAATTAGCATATAATTTATACGCTACAGCTTTTTACGTACATTAGCATGAAATTTATATACTACAGCTTATTACGTACAATGTTTATATGCTATAGTTTATTCCGAAACGAGCATAAATAATATGAGCTAGAATGAGGAAAATATGTTTTAGTTAAAGAAATAGGATTGATCATAAAATCTGGACAATGTAGTGTGTACTGTTGGATGTCAGTTATGCTGATATTAAGGCAATGAAAAAGCAGTTAGAACTTCCCTGCAGTCACCCGTTTCTGAATGGAGAATTCCCATCACTAACTTCACATGTTATTTAAATCGGCATGTTCGTTATAGTTAGCAAACAAATATGGAATACAAATTCTTCAAACAAGCTTTGTAACTTTGGAACCCATCACTGGTGAGTGACATCCTTCATTATAAAAGAAATCGAAGAGATGAGATGGTATTTTACCGTTCGCGTATAGGACACACACATATCCCTGACCATGCATACCTACTTTATGGGTGAGTATCGACCAAACTGCACATGTTGATCATGTCAATCGACAAACAAACATATTCTTGTTGAGTGCAAAGAGTTGCCACCTGTGAAACAGTATTTATTATGTGAAATTAATTATGAAGTTTTATCAGCATAGAAAATCGCAGATGTGATAAAGGAATATATATATATATATATATATATATATATATATATATATATATATATATATATATATATATATATATATATATATCAGACATTTTCACCCAGTATTTGAAGTAATTTATTTATTGAGTTTTGTTACTGTTCTGATTAAAATTATTTGTTTTGTTGTTTTTTTAAAGCATTTGACATCGTTACCCTTTTTTTCTTGTTGGAAAATATATGTACGTTGTTTATCCTCCTTATGTTCTTGTGTAATTTCGTTGTTCTGTTGCTCTGGGGCTAAACGCCATTTTTCAGCACACGAAAAATACATACATTCATACATGGCGGCCAGTATTAATGGTGGAGGAAGAAACCGGGAAATCCGCAAAAAGAACCACCGACCCACGAGAAGCTACTGGCAAGCTTTCTCACATGTCCACATTGGCCGAATCTCAGACTCGAACCCATGCAAACAGGTGAGATGGCAGTGTTCCGTAACGGAAAGTGCTTTAGACCACTCGGCCACTCGGTGCCCCTTGTAATCTTTTATCTTTTCATTTCGACCGCACCGGTGGCCTAGTGGTGGATCGTCCGCTTCTGATGCGTGAGGTTGCGGGTTCGAGCCCTGGCTGAGTCATATCAAAGACTATAAAATGGTAATAACAGAAGCATCGCTTTGAACTCATCATTAAGAGGTAAATGTTGGGACAGATCGGCCTATTGTCACGATAATGTGACTTGGTGGGACATCATGTTGCATGCCTGCGGCATGATGCCGAAGTGCTAAGTATCACTGTAAACTGTCATATTGCAGACATCGTAGCGATACGACTAAAAATTGTTAAAACTACGTTAAAAATCTAAGTCACTATATCATTTTCATTTTGAGAACTTGACTCTTAATTGGCACTTTAAGTAAGGAATGTGCTGATGTACCGTGAAAGCCTTTAAATCACCATACATACATACATACATACATACATACATACATACATACATACATACATACATACATACATACATACATACATACATACTGTGTTGGCTCGTCTTCGTTGGTGCAGTTTGTTATAAGTAATCAGTAGAACAAATATAGCAGACCCTGATCTGCGGGTGCATTATGCTACAGTGGATCACGATCTTTATTGTTTGCTATTTAACTCGACTTATGAGTAAGCATAAATGGCAGTGTTGCGACTTTCGAATATGGCATTTTCACTGAAGGAAATAATGAGCAATGGTGCATTTATCGCAATATGCAATGATATATTTCTCGCATTTTAATATGAAAATCAGCAGTAAAGTTTTATCCTAAATTATCAGCAAAATATCGATGATCCTTGACTTACGTAGCTAATTCTTTTAGATAAAATGCTGTCAATTTATGTATATTTACATACAGGAGACCTCAGTAATTGCACCACTTCAATAGAAATATATTAAATTTGAAATTATATTATGTTTGTGAGCTGGTCATAAATTTTCTCACATTTCAGATAATGTTTTCTCCACCTGATTATAAACCTTAAAGTTAAGTCTTCATCCTTAACATTCCGTCAAATTACTTTTTTGGTGATTTCTTGGAACATTGATGGGGATTATAAAACCGTTAGGTCGACAATAAAAGAACCCATATATTCGAAAACAGCATAATTTAAATGAAATGCTTATTCTAATGTTTATTTTATTTTGGCGAAGAGAGGTATGTATTTGCGGACGAATCTTTATGTTGCCTTTGAGTGGTTACGAAAATCCGACACACCTGCGATTTTATCAAACGTTACGTTAAAACGGACATAAAATCTAATTTAATTGATTTAAATCGCGTTGCTTTCAGTGATATGTTCTATCGCTCACTGAGACACGGCACTGTTTGGGTGTAGATAACAGTAATGAGAAATGGAGATTATAATAATGTAGAATGGAATTATCGAACAGCTTGAGATCTGTATCTTTGACGTATTCAAGACAAGTCTCTCTCTCTCTCTCTCTCTCTCTCTCTCTCTCTCTCTCTCTCTCTCTCTCTCTCTCTCTCTCTCTCTCATGAATACTAATGGTGCAAGATACAGCACACATCGACTATAAAAGAGAAAATTTAAGCAAAAAAGGAACCTCACATTTGAAAGAGTTTATTTCCTTAACATTAGTTAATAAACAATACATTATTTTATTTCTCTTGACTGAAACACATCCTACGATCTGAATAGCGTTCGTTTCCGTAATGGCAGGAATTTGATCTCAGCTGACAATCAAATTCTTCAAAAGACAGGACCACTTTCAGATAAAAAAAAAAAGTGTCATCACCGACAATAGTGATATGGGCAGGTACTAAACTATCATCAAATGATTTGACCGATGACGATGATGATGATGATGGACATTGGACCCCCCCCCGAAAATGTGTAATTAGTGAAAATTAAAAAATTTAAATTGGTTTACCAATCAGAAAAAATTTTTTTTGAAGTTCTCATATCTTTCATGCAAGCAGTCATATGCACATTATGTACGTCTCTTTCTCTCTCTCTCTCTCTCTCTCTCTCTCTCTCTCTCTCTCTCTCTCTCTCTCTCTCTCTCTCTCTCTCTCTCTCTCTCTCTCTCTCTCTCTCTCTTTATATGTTTGTCTCTCTCTCTCTCACCACCTCACCACAACCCACACATGCAGAAAGTAAACATTTTGTTTAAATACACACCATTTCTTTTTCCTTGTTTTTTTCATCACTTTTAATCAAAAAAAGAAAAGCCTCGAATGAAAATGGTTCAAGTGTCATTTGCACTAACCTTATTACAAAACAGATGCTTTGCATATTTCATTATGCACTGGAGATTTGTTGGCGCTGTCGACTTTATGTCCTTCGTGGGAATTTTTCCCCAATAAACAGTCATTTATTACCTCATCCGTGACAGGCAAAGCTGATTGCATGATCTTGAACAAATTGTTGTACATCAATAATATTTCAAATCTTTTTATTACAAACATTTAATTTTGTCATAATTTCACCCTCATTGGTGATATTAAATTTTCTATTGACATTTTACTTCCGAGACAATTAGTATAAAATTTAGCAATGTCGTTATTGCGACAGAACAGTTACTATTGCTGTCCGTATACTCCTGTCGCTGACATTTTGGTCGGTTGGACGCTTTCATTTTCAGTTTGTAAACTGTCATACATGTCTTACTTTACAGTTTTAAAAGGCCTTCATATTTCTCTGATACGAATACTTTGATAATATTTTATTTTTTGATCTTCTCTTGCAGTGTCTCCAAATTTTACAGTTATAACTGCGTCATGAATTAAGTGCAAAATCTCTCTCTCTCTCTCTCTCTCTCTCTCTCTCTCTCTCTCTCTCTCTCTCTCTCTCTCTCTCTCTCTCTCTCTCTCTCTCTCTCTCTCTCTCTCTCTCTCTCTCTCATGAAGTCATGTTCTTTCGAACACAAGCTATATAAGTGTATATGTCTTGGTTTGGTTCCGCGACTGTATTTACCATATCTTTATATTGAATATCAAGTGTCAGACAAAATGTTCGCTGACCTTCGTTGAACCTAAATTCTTTTCTTTGCACTCCTACTGTATAAACAGCGGCTTGATAATGAAAGTTGATTAAAATTAAATAAAAAAGAGGATAAAAAACGGACTCGTTCTTTGTCTCAACGGGGATCAAAACGATGAGCCATTACGTTTAATAAAGCGAATCTCGACTGCTGCCAAAAAATTAATTCCAGACCTGGAGCTTAAGAAAAACAAGTGTTTTGGAGAGAATATCTGAAAAACGTGCTTGGAGTTAGTCTTAAATATATTGGCTAATCTGGGAAGATAATTGGTTAAATTATCCTTAATAAATACCATGCGATATTTATCACTTTATCATCTAAAGCATCAAAAAGGGCAAGGTAGGAGAGATTACGGAAGATAAGATGTAGGAGTTTGCATCACCCGTTTGAAAGCGGCCATGATGTGTTTGGGTATTTAATTTGCCCCCCCAAAAATATTATTTACAGATTTTTCTTGGTTTTGTTTTTCATGCCTGTCAAACATTATTGTCCCTGTTTCCCTCGCTTATCTCGTTGCATATCTTATTTTGTAAATCGTAAATCCAGTTAGCTAACAAGCGATGAAAGTTTAGCATCTGTTAATCAGTCTGCACCAGGGTTGATAGGGATCGCTGAAGTAGTAAAACTTCTTATTCTGGTAATAAAAATAGTGCGTTGGCGTCATGGGGAAAACTATATTAGATCAAGTTTTTGTTTTTTTAAAAAATGGTTTCTAGTACTAATGAGGATAATTTTACGGCAAATCGTGTTTGTCAATATGATTTTCTTCCATGGAAAGATTGCTTAAGGTCTTAATGATGAAAAGAGACCACGAGAATCAGAATATACAATTACTTTTATGTATTGATTGTGTTCGTTTGTACTGTGTCAGATAAATAATCAAAATAACACAAATTGAAGCATTATTTATCAATAAAAAGTTCCGCATATATGTGATACAAAATGATATAAAATGATGCAAGGCTCAGTGTAATATATAAAGATGTACTATATAAAGGACAGAATGCGAGAAATCTCACAGTTCCATTGTCGTTTTTTAAGTACAGAACGTTTAAGTTTTGTGTTACCACTTTAAGCGATTCCCATTTACCCCCACCCACACAAATGTAAATATTTACCCGTGTTCTTCTATATACTTACCCTGTATAACATATCACAAAAACGAAACAGGCAAGTCTTGGGAGTTCATATGCATAAATAAACGACAGAATTTGTTTTGATTTTTGGTGCCATTTCAAACGATGTACTGCCACTTTCATTTCATAGCAGTCATTGATATTGAACCAAAAGACCACGTGTGTTTCCTGCTGTACTGATTTTAAAATTAAATTAGGGTAGGTAGGTAAGTAGGTATGATTTTTAAACATATATATATGCTCAGTTAGATGTACAATATGATTAAAATCGGATCTCCGCTGTCCTACCTGAAATATCTTACGGTGACCGCTTAGGGATCACATTCTTGTGACTTTTGAATTAACCAATGGAAATGCAGCTTTCAGAAACTTGAAAATGAATCAAATCGTCAAATCGTTAGTCAAACATTCATTATCTTCAATCAGACTGCTCCGTCTTCCAAAACTCGAAGATCTAGGATTTTCTCGGATTGAGAGATAAAATTAGCGATTATAGTAATAACGTAGATCACCAGAATATGGCCCCTAGCCTGTTTCTATCGGATTGGTGGGTGGGACATTGGAGACCTGATGGTAATACGATTAGTCAGAATCGCAAATAATTTTCGGGAACTCTCTATTTTAATGTTTTTCTTTTGCCCTGGGGGAAAAGTGATAGGGTCAACCACGAGAAACATGGACGGTCGGCCAACCAACAATCTGAATAAAATCATGTCTCCGCGGTCTTACGTAAACAGTGGAGATCTGATTTTAATCAGAATGGCCGACCGGAGACATTGGGGGTGAGGGGCTTTAAGTTTTACTAGAACCACATGACAGACTGTAAGGCATTTTCACACCGTTTATTCCAAAGAGACATTAGCCAACGGTGTAGCGGGTTTCACTGGTTTCATCATATATTCGTACTCCAACCACAATTCCCGAAACAAAATACACGATTATGTCGATA